GTTGGGGTTACCATTAGCACCAGCAGTCTGTCAACATTTCCACGGGTCTTTTAAAAAATTGTTGTGAAAGCTTAAGCCAAGTTTAAGGATGAGACATCTGTATTCCACAATAGTTTCTAGCCGTGGTTTATGGGGTTGTATGTACTCTAAGCTTTTTTTTTTTTTTTTGTCATGAGAACAATTTCATGGAATAATTTCTTTTCTCTCATGAATTCAAACAGGTGGCTTATTTTATAGAATGTAGGATATGATTATTTCAAAAGATTGTATCTCTGGAAAAATGAGCAATACTCAACCATCTATATATTTTTCTAGCTTCATCAATAGTTAACATTTTAGTGTTGACAGCTGAAAAGCTTTTTATTCTAGTGGAATGTTTTGCCCACTTTAACAGTTTAGGCTTGTGATAAATGTGTTCTGATCCTTAAGATTTTTCTTAAGGACATTTTTCATTGCCTGTAGGAATTAGCATTAGGATAGGGATAGGCAGTGAGATGTTGTGTCTGGGCTGGGGGTGTAGCTCAGTGGTGGAGTGCTTGCCTAGCATGTGCAAGGCCTTGGGTTTGATCTGTAGCACCAAGGGGAAAAATAATGGGTCAACGAGTTTGTAGGGTAGGGGCCAAAGAAGAATAATTCTTACAAGAAGACTTCCCAAAGTGAGTGTTCATTATAGGAAATGCTTTTATCATTTGGGGAACTGTGTGTGTGTGGAGTTGAGAGCTAATGATTTTCCTTTCTTGTTGTGATCTATATATAGCTACTTTTCCCCCTGGATCTTGTCTTTTTACTTGACTTCAAGTATCAACAACTGCTTGGGAAATATGTTTCTGGATAATTTCTAAATCCCACTTATTTCATTTGGTTTATTATGTTCTACTTCTCATTCTGGCATTTATTTTGCAACCTTATCTTGGTTCATCGACTTTCCTGGAATTTAACTGGATCTCAGTTGATCACTGCATGAATATTGCATGTTTAAGTCGTAGTTTTAGCTTTCCTTGAGTGTCTCTCTGTTGTGAGCCCAGAGAATCAGAACCTTATGGTTAGTTTTGGGCCCCAAATTTGCCCTTCATTATTATGATTAAAAATGTTTTTCTAGATTAAATTCATGTTACATTAATTTAGCTTCTCTAAAATATTAATGGACATTTAGAAACTGATCTCTAAATTTTGAATTTTAACATTTTCTATCTCGAGCATGAAGATATAATGGTGGACACCTAGCATTAAAACTTGGCTTCTTAGTAACAATCAGATCACATGTTTTATGATGTAAAAATTAAGCTAAGTATCCTAAGATGGGCATTTCTCATTTTGGTCAATTCTCGTGTAGATCATTAACTGATGACTTTGATTGCTTATTTGAATTTGTGTGTAATAGTATATGTGTTTTAAGATTTTTATACTAATGTTGCCAAGTTCTATTGGGGAAGATCTGGTCCTAACTTGGTCTGTATAGGATCCTACACACAAGTTTCTTGTTACTTGTGCCAACCCTTTGTTTTTAACAAATATGTCTTGAATTTGGGATTAGGCAGAGACATTTTAGCAATTTTATGATAAGTTTGATTGAAGTGAATACTAATCGTTGATTAAAAAAAAAACAAAAAAACTCTTGAACTTACAACACTATTTAACCAGCAAAGATGGAGGGGAGGCTACGATGCCAAAGGTGCATTGTTCAGTCGCATTATTTTCAGAACTAGAAATGTGTACCTTTGTCAGAAATGGATGCCTTCACCTAGAAGGAATTTAGATTTCTTCTTGCTTGGCAAGGTCTAAATCTAGCAATAGGAGAACACTTAAAAAACGTGTCAAGTGTATATTGGAAACAGATGGCCATTCAACACCTACCTAAAATGCTCTGTGAGATAGAAATGCAGATAACTGGACTGATTTAAAGGATCAAGTTTTAAATATCAGGATTCATTTTAAGGGAACACAAATCAAATAATTAGAAGAATAATGAGTTCTAATTGTTTATCTCATGATAGAGGTGGTGTTGTTCCCTTATTCTGCCTCATGATTTTTTTTTTCAAATGCATGCATGCATTCTTTGTTTCCTTTTTGCAAGGGGATATGTGGGTGTTTGTGCTATAATCACTGTCTATCACAGGATTTTTAGTGTTTTGTGTGACATACTTCATCTTTAGAATTTCGGGTGGGTCTAGATTTAGAAACATGTTTTGGTTGGAAGGATGAGGCTCTGGATCTCAGCAGGCTTCAGGGTTGGAAGGGTTGAAACTCGCAGAGAAAGCAAATAAACATGGTCATCAAAGCTGGGAATTAATATCTGTTTGTTCACCTGCACATTTGAATTAAATCTTACAGCAATAGACAGAGCCATTAGACTTATTAAGATCCCGATAAAATAGTTGTGTTGAAATGTCAATCTTCCCTGTGTTTTGCACAGATTCACATAGTTACTAGGTGGTAGAGGAGGCTCTTGTTGAATTGCTACTAATCTATTAAGAGGGGGGCCACAGAGTTGATGATGTACAATGGTAATTAAACTGAAAAGTAATTGAGATGTGGGACAAGAAGATTCAAAGTGCAAAGATCACTTGTGCTCTTGACCCTCAGCAGTGAGTGGTATAACAAATGACTGAGGATTGGAGGAGGCCAAGAGAGAGCACTTAGGGTGGGTGTGGCTCTCATCAATGTGCTTTAAGAGACATCCTTGTGTATAGGGTTATAAAGATACCTGAGATATGGACTCCAGTAAGTGTTCCCTAATTCATTTTCATTGTTTAACTCTGTCAAGGTTCAAGTACATAAAGCAATGCTTTTAATGGTTTTAAGAATACCTTTTTAAAAATAAATGTAGGGCACAATTTGTTGACTCTGAAATCCTTGTGGTCAGGATGAAAGTTGATGTCTGATACATAAATACAAAACAAAAAAGCCTTTAATTTGTGTTGATTCCCTTGGTTCTGTAATTGTCTTTGCTCTATACTCCTTAGTATGGAGCGTGATTTATGGTGATACAGGGCTCTTGGCTTAACCTTTAAACTAAAAGTAAGTATAGCTTCAACTTAGTTTGTGATGACTGTGGGCCACAGAACCTTCTCCTTAAACCATTCTGCTCTGTATATAAACCTTTCAAGTTCTCTTCTCACTTCAAAGCTAGGTCTGGGATTTGAATAACCTTGCTGCTACTTTTTTTCAAATCTGTAATTATGTTTAAGAGTAAGAGGTAAGCAGCGACTCCTCACACATGTTGCAGAGGGCTCTGTAGTGTGGCTTTGATGTAGCTCTAGCCTGCAACTGACTTTGCTGTAGTTTCCCAACTGCTCACATTTAAGGGACATCTCTTTCATAAAATAGTTATATATTGCTTTTTTAAATACCATGCCATAGGATCTTTGTGCCTTTATTCCTCGGAACATTCCAGTTTTCTGTACCCTACCAACCCCTCCAATTTTTCCCTTTCTTGAAACTTGAAATCCCAGTTTTGGGAAACTCACTTCCTTATACTCTGTTCATGATACCCAGAATAAAACCTCTCCAGAAGACAGCGGGGAAATGATAGGTAGTGTAGGATTATCTGGTAGGAGCTAGGTGAAAGTGCTTTATCCATCATAATTATCTGGTCTGGATAAAGTGTAGGAAATACGAAGGACGATTGATTCAGCAATAGACTGCTGAGAAAAGAGGCAGGTGGGCCTGGGGTCAGACTTCACAACTGTACAAGTGAGAAGTAATAAAGGTCTGAGATTTGAGCAGATTAGTGGAAACCACAAGAGTGAGGTTTGGAGTAAAGTCTTTAGGAAGTATTATTATGATGAGGACTAGCAGAAGAAGAAACTTGGAGCAATCTTAGCTTCTGAAGGTGTGAGGACTGGAAATTGAGAATGAGATCTTGAATTGAGGATAAGAAAACTGGTTGCAGTCTTCAAAAATGTGGTCTTAGAGATCATTGAGTGGGGGTAGTGGTAAGTAGAGGCAGTAAGTGAAACTACCACTTTCAGGAAATACAAAAGTCACATTGGTCTGGACCATTGCTATGGAAACATGATTTATAGCTTGATTGAGCAAGTTCTGACCTTTCTACAGTATGATTGCATTTATTAAAAATGCAAATTACATATTGTGTATATGCACATGAATATAAAGGGATATCCTATAATTGCATTTGAAGGGGTGATTTTCCATCTGACTTAGTTCTCCAGTCTGCCTCCTGCAATTGCAGGTTTACTGAATTAAGATATTAAATCAGAAATATGTGAAAATATAGAAAAAATATCTGTAGCACTTACTGATCATGTATAACTATTACTTCATTTTTTTCTTACATACTTTTTATTTTTATCTTGTTTTTTGGTACAGGTCTGTGTTTTCTGGTTACACCACTCTTTTAGTCTGCCATTCAACTTGTGCACAATTTTTTAATTGGGTTTAGAATTTTTATTCATTGTAATTTTCATATTATTGCTTTTTACCTGTTATTTTTAGTCCTTTATATATTGTATAGATAATCCAAAGATGTTGGTTTAAAAGTCTCTTCTCAGAATGACTCTTTGAGTATGAATTTTCATTTTTGTAGAGATGGATTCTCTCACAGAGCAAGTGGATCTGGACAAGTTTTTATGTGACCTTCTTGATTTTAGGGATCCTATCTTCTGTGATAATTTGGCTCTCACACCTGGATGTCTTGCAGGCTCTGGGTTTCTGCTTGTCATGGGTTCTCTCTCTCCTGTGCTCCTGTCCTCCTCCCTGAGTTGGAATTCATTTTTCTGTACACTTGGATCGGGCTACAGTTGTAGTGCCTGTCATGGACAAACAGCTCTCAACTCCTTTGTGCAGTCTGGTTGTGTTTCCAAGTATAGTTGTATTTTAATCTTTTAAAGATTATCTTGCAAGGGGGAGAATATCTTGTTTAGTACTTGTATGGAGTAGAGCAGAAGGACAAGACTTTTGTCCTTTGACCATGATGTTCTGACCAGAAGTCTGAGCATATTCACGTTTCAACATGTTTTCTTTTTGTTTTTCTTTTACAGCTAGTTATGTATCAAATCCCATTTGCAAGGGGTGTTTGTCTTGTTCAAAGGACAATGGGTGCAGCCGATGTCAACAGAAGTTGTTCTTCTTCCTTCGAAGAGAAGGGATGCGCCAATATGGAGAGTGCCTGCATTCCTGCCCATCAGGGTACTATGGACACCGAGCCCCAGATATGAACAGATGTGCAAGTGAGCATTTGACTTTTGAATATTCTGTTTAACTGGATATATGCAACTTAGAGGATGAGCTCAATTGAAAACTTTGACTTAAAAAATGTACATTTGTAATAGGCTAGAGAAATAGTCTTTTAAGCTCAAATTTAAAAAAAATTAGTGGGGGTGTGGGATAAGAGAACTTTTACTTTATATTTTGTATAGAAATCTATTACAGGGCCACCTGCTTTTTCTTTATTTAGTTTAACGGTATTTTTTATCATGAAGTTCTCGGACACATGCTGGTTAATCTTAGGAGTACATACTCACTGCTTATAAACAAAACAAAAAAACAAAATATACCACTCACCCTCCCCACACCCCACAAAGGAATTTACATACTTTATACTGAGAACATTCTCTTTGGTTGAGTTTCTACAGCTCTTTTTATCCTTTTATCTGAGTTTATAACACCTGCATTAGTCTTATCTGCAACTAAATATAAGCATTTTGGGTTTCTGTGAAACACCATTAATGATAAAACATTTAGTATAGGTTAAAATATTTGGAGTTCTAAGTTGAACCACTATAAAAATGGTTGCTAATTACATAAGAATGAGGACACAGCTGTTCATATTTTAATCTAAAACTTACTTCTAGAATGATCTTCTAGATCAACAGCTAAAATTGGAATTTTAAATAAAATACCAAAGGAACAACCCTTTCTCAGATTTTGGGGGGAGGAAGAGATGGGAAAAGAGAGACTAGGGATTGAAATGACAAATGAGTAAGCATTAAATTATAATTTACTCCATTAAGTGCTATTAAATTATTTTCCTATCTTTCTCCTATCAACACCATGTGGTGGCCTTATCCAAGCACAATTATTTTGGAAAGAGGCAGATCTAGAGCGGGGTGATTAAGTAAATCTTAAAAAAGGAACTACCTACATTCAAAAATAATGTGTTTGAGGATCAAGTCTCATCTGCCATGCTATTTGGCATGTTGGCACAGCAGTTCTGTGTCATAGGACTGGTCTTACATCAGTGAACATATAGTGTCCTTTGTTGCTGCCTATTAAATATCCTTTGTATCTCAAATCATAGTGACAAGCAAAAATGTCTGAAACATTTCCAAACGCCCTGGGGTAGGAGAGCAGTACTATCCTGGGATAAGAACCACTGAACAGCATGTGCTTAGCACAGGTGTAGTTAGGACTGGGGAGGAAATGGAGACCTGAGTACAGCTGATAAAGGCTTTGAGTGCCAGCCTCCGGACTCGGACCTTACACTGGGCACTGAGCTGGCGATAGAATGGAGATGGCTTTATTTGAAATAACTGTAGGGGAAGTGAGGAAGATGAATTGGAGAAAGACAAAAAGTAGAGTAAGGCTATGGTAGCAGTCAGATTAGAAATCTTATTGTGAAAAGTTTGTAGATGATGAGTTCTAGGGGAAATATAATCAGTGGGATTTACCAGTCCCATGCCTGGTGGGAAGAGGGAGAATCAAATTTTATCCTAAGGTGTCTAGCTAAGTTGACTGGGTGAAAAGTAGCAGAAATATTTAGGCTTACAGAGAATTTAGATTTATCTTCATTCATGGAATTATTTGGATTGTTGGAGGGACACTAATCCCAGGAAGCATCAATAGATTGTCCAATTTTTGCAAATATGTACTTTGTTCTTAAGGCATATGATTGGGACCAACTGATCATGGGGCCACCTTGAAATAGTTTTTTTTTTAATATTGTTTTAGACCACGTATGGGGGGATTGAGTCCATGAATGTGCAGTTTTCACTCCAGGCCATCAGTGCACAAGGAGGAAGAGGCAAGGCTGTAGATGGGTTGAGATGTTTATCCTGGATTCTGGAACTCATATGTACTAGATATGGGCAACACATGAGCCATACAATGTCTTACTCAGCTAGGGCCATTGGAGAATGAAAGGAGCTGTGGTTACTGACTTTATAGGGGCATACAGCATAAAGCAGGACTGTCCTGGGCAAGCTGGTGTAAATGTCACTTCAGCAACACTTTTTGTACATCATCAGAGTCTCTCTTAGAGAAATAATCTAGTGGGTTAATATGCACATATTGACTAAGTTGATCCCTTGTCTCAGAAATGGAAAAGAGAGTCGTGACTATAAATCAGCTTTGGAAAGAATCTACATGTGAGAGTGGGCTTCTGTGGTTAAACTTAATGCACGTGAATGCAATCAGGGCTAGAGTTTACTGACCTAGAGGAAGTCATTACCTATCTGGCACAACCAGGAAGTGCTTATTAGCAAGACTCCTGTGAAGCAAAGTGAAAATCCAAAGTTATTTCTTAATTCTCAGTGTATGACTCTAAACAGTATGGAAAAACCATAGTCATTCAATTTTTTTCATATTTTACATATTTTGCAGATATTTGTATCCTATTTAGAGGACAAAAAAGATTTAAGTTGGAAAAATGGTCATACACTTAGAATTTGAATTCTTTTTGTTTTCTCAAAGAAAAAAATCGATATTGCTCAACAGTAGAAGAGAAATTATACTGTAAGCAACAGTAGCTTAGAAAATTCTACAAAGAAACTTGCTCATCTGTTTCCTAATCAATGCATTAAGATTCCAACCATACAGTATTTGTCTTTTGAGGCTGAGGATATAGCTCAGTTGGTAGAGTGCTTGCCTTGCATGTATTGTACAAGGCCCTGGGTTCTATCCCCAGCACCAAAAACAAACAAACAAACAAAAAAACAAAAAACTTTTTTCTAAAGGAACACCTGCTCTGTGAAATACTGGTTGAGATTGGCTTCTTTGTACATATAGTATGAAGCTTATAAAATTCAAACCTGTTAGTAAAAAACAATCCAGCATCCGTTGAGGCATGCTGTGACATACTGATAGACACTACTATTGTCCCCGTTACTATGTTAGGTGATTTCTCATATTTTCTCTTCTTCATTGGTTGGTGAACTCATTGACATAAAAAGTCTTATTTTTTTGAATTGTTATACAGGTACCTTGTATAAAATTCAGTGTATAAACCTTAATAAAAAGCAAACACAAAAATGAGGTACTCTTCAAAAATAACAAATTTAACATCTGGGCTTTGTCCTTGTCCTTTTGTTTCTATGTGTCTTTATGTCCCCCTCCCCCTAAATGTCATTGTGTTATGTAGTGGTTTAAGGTCTATTGAAGTGATTCTCAAACAGAGCTGACTTAGTAATTTTTAGCTGCATTTAGTAATATTGGGGAACATTTAGTAATGTTTGGAGACATTTTCACTTATATTAAAACTGGAGGGATGCTACTGGTATGTAGTGGGTAGAGGCCACACAGATGCTGCTAGACATTTACAGTGCACAGTGCAGCCCCTTGAAACAAACTTAAAATGTTTGTAGTATCAAAGGTGAGAAACTTTGGTCTAGTGGAAAAGACAGATAATCCATTTGACATAGCATGTCCTAAATGTTGCTAATTATTTAGCTTTTGTTCAGTGCCAACATTTCTGTTAGATGTACTTTTTCTCACATTTTTTTAAACATATGTGCAAAACAGGTTATGCATTTCTATTTCCTGGATGAAATTACCTAAACTGGGTAAAAATACACTTTCTAACGGTTGGGGTAGTTTGTGGCAGAGAAGGGGATGGCATGAATGGTATGTGGGTGTTTACAGCATTATTAGGATGAAATCTTATCAGTAGAAGAAAAAAGTGTGAATGCATGGAGAAGTAGAACACCATCTGTTGCTAAATAGAAAGCAAGTGGTTGAGTACAACTTCACTGTTTTGCCCCAGATGATACTCAGTCAGTTGGGTAGAGGCTAGCGCATAACAGGTGTTATGTGATAAATTTAAGCAATTGGAGCACCTTCCTGAAAGCTGCAGGTAGTCAGTGAAGGATTTTAAGTAAGGTAATGGCAAAGTTACAGTCTTTAGAGGCATTTTAGTTGGGAAGTATCAAGGAGGAGTTAAAGGAGAGCCAACCACATAGACAGTAAGATCAATAATATAGGTTAAAAAAGAAAGAAAGAAAAGAACAGCTGTCTCCTCAGAGCTACCTGGCTAATTCACCTGAAACTGTAATCTTCTCTATTCCAATATTTCATTTCTTCCTTTCCCTATTTGCCCATTCTCCCTGTTCCCTTCTCTCCTTCACTTACTCTTCTCCTCTCCTTGCTTTTTAGTCTTGTCAATTGATGAATATGTTATGTGTTTGACTTGATTATATATTGCATAACTCTCCCCTTAGGCTTTAGTCTTTTTATCTTTAATCAGGTTCTTCTTAGGCACATTAATGTCTGGCATGTAGAAGATGCTTCATAAACACGTATTGAATGAATACATAGAGTGGGAGATACACATGAGGGAATGGATAGAGAGATTGTGGAAGTATTGATAGGACTTGATCAACTGGAGGATGATGAATACAATTAAAGGGGGATGTTAAGATTACTCCAGGTTTGGGAGTGACACAGTGGGTTTTATCAAGGCACAGAATGAAGAAGAGTGGACTTCTGGAGACAATGGTGGAGAATATTTGATTTGGGACCTATTGAGATAAGCTAAGAAGCCCTCCTGGTGACACTCTCCAAAGGACAGTTAGATGTAAGAATCTGGAGCCTTCAGAATGGATCTGAACCGAGTCATTGGTACAGTGAACAGAAAATCGACTGGGGTGGGGAAGATTCTGAGGATTAAACCCTAAGAATGCTGACATTGAACTTTCTTGAGGAAGACAGTATATTAAAAAAAAAACTATTTGTAAACAAGAAATTACAGAAGTATATTTCATATTCTGGATTCAGAATACTTTTAACTATTTCTGGAATATTTTATGATTCTGCCCTTATAATATGTTTAGCTAGGATAGTTCAAAATTCTTTTTTTTTAAATGAAATGACAGATTTAAAAATTAGTAATTTTGAACATATAAGCAAACCCACAGTTAAATATAACCATCCTTTAATTTTTGAACTTTGAACCAGCATTCAGGTGTTTTTGGAGAATTACTATGTGTCAGTTTAAGTGCTTTCAGAAATACCTGTC